CAACAAGTACAAATTGTTAATGCTCATTCTGAAAAACTTTATATTAAGTATGGTGTCCCCAAAGGCTCCATATTTTGCCCCTTCTGTTTATTTTATACATAAACGAACTTCTCATCTTTATGGGAAATTGTTGCACTGATATATATGCAGATGATTCAACTTTACATCTTTCTGCTAGTTGTTATCAAACTCTGCAGTCAAGTCAAATGTACATGAAGATTTACATGGTGTTGGGGAATGGTGTAATGATAACAATATGTTCATCAATAACAATAAAACAAAATATATGATAATTGGAACAAAGCAAAAGCAATGCCACATTACAGTGAAAGTTGTTTAAATATTAACAATCAAGTGATACAATCTTCCACATGCGAAAGTCATGTTACTGAGATATCGTGGCACTAAATATATATATATATAAGAAGCAAGTCTAAAAGGGTACAACATCGCCAAAAAATAAAATAAAATCGTGAACAAAAGTTTAATATTTCGGATAACTAATATCCTTCATCAGTAAGATGTCAAAGAATTCTTAACTTGACATGTGGTAGTCACACTGTAATAGTGATCTTGATCGTTATACAAATTATCACGAATCAATACGCTGGTAAATTTTGGCGTAAGACGGTGCCATGTTCGTCCCCATTACTGCCCCGTTTATCGAAGGTAATGTTCACCATTGAAGGTCGAATTGTTGCATTTCAGAACGTTAACCTTCAATGGTGAACAATACCTTTAGATAAACATGGCACCGTCTTACGCCAATATTTTCATGGGCAAATCAGAGAAACAAATCATTTCAACATCTTTATTTAAATCTCTGTCTTGGTTCCGTTTCATCGATGATGTTGACATGAAATGGATTGAATCACAACAAAAACTGGATGATTTTATTAAACATGCAAACAACGCCCACCAGTCAATTAAATTCACATATGAAATCTCCGACTCTAAAATATCTTTCTTGGACACAACTACATCTATAAAGGACGATGTCATACCAACAGACCTCTACTGTAAACCTACAGATAAACATCAGTACCTTTCTCCCGAAAGCTGTCACCCCAAACACTGTACAAAAAGTATCCCGTACAGTCAAGCTCTCAGAGTAAAGCGGATTTGCTCCTCTGAGGAGGCTGTCACTAAACGGTTATAGGAACTTCGCGGATTTTTGACCAAACGAGGTTATAAGAAATGGGAAATAGATAAGGGGTTGGAGCGTGCTAACAATAACAGCCGCAATGACCTATTACAGTACAAACAGAAAAGGCGAAGCGAAATAGTATCGTTTGTTTTAACATACAATCCCGCCTTTACTTACCTCTCCCGTTTGATCCGTACCAATTGGCAGATTATTGCCAAACATCCAAAATTATCCAAGATCTTTCCCAAACCTCCTGTGTTAGATTTTCGGAGACAAACAAGTCTGAAAGACTTATTTGTGAGAGCTGATGTCTCCTGTAATCAAAGAAAGCTGTTCAACTGCAGGATGGAGCATGTCGTGTGGTAACAGACGATGTCTGACTTGCCAACAAATACTAAACACTCAAACATTTACTTGCTACTCCACTGGATCCGTATACACTATATATTGCAATGCAACTTGCAAAACCCAGAATGTTGTATACCTTCTTCAGTGTCGATGTGGCATGCAGTATGTTGGCGAGACAGAACAGCCATTCAACAAACGCATGAATGGTCATCGAAGTGACTACACCTACAAGCCCGACCTCCCCGTAAGTCGTCATTGGAGATCACCTGGGTTACGCCCAAGCTGATCTCAAAAACCTTACCATCACTATCATAGACCACAACGAGGGTTGGTCAAGGGCTGACAGACTTGCTCGGGAAAGGTTTTGGATAAGGAAATTGAGGAAAGTTCCCCAAAGGGCATTAATGAAAAAACATAGAATGAGTCCCTACCATCACTTATTTACAGTAACCCAGGCTTCAGTACATGACTCTTACAGTTTTAAGGAATGTATTCCTCCTCCCAAACATCAATATTGAAAAAAATTATCAGCGTATTGATTCGTGATCATTTGTATAACGATCAAGATAACTATTCGTGTGACTACCACATGTCAAGATAAGAATCATTTGACATCTGACTGATTAAGGATATAAGTTATCCGAAATATTTAACATTTGTTCATGATTTTTTTTGGTGATGTTGTACCATTTTATACTTGATTATTATATATTATATTTTGTAGTGTACTGTATCATAATTATATGATACATCGCCCCGTAAGATTTATCGCCGGCTATTATTCAGACATTTTATATATATATTTATTTCTCTAATTCTAATGAAATTTATCCCTTTCCGAACCTATTGTATAAAAAAATTTAATCAACGTGTGGTTGCCGTTGATCTCAGAAGATGATTGGATGAATTTAAGGGTCATAACCTTTAGCAGCACACTGGATGTATCAAAATATGCCAACAGGTGTTAATGAAATTGACAACTTCGGGGAATGTGGAAGGCACTGGAAGGGGACTTTCGTTTAACAAAAAATGAAAATTTATTTATTAATCATTAGAGAAACAGATTCTTACATAGTTACTCGTGGATTATCGGATTTATCCAATCTCGATAGTTAAATTATGAATTTTAAAGTCCTCGCCGAGGCTCGGACTTTAAAATTGATAATTTAACTATCTCGATTGGATAAATCCGATAATCCACTGGTATCAATGTAAGAATCTATATATATATATCTAAATTAAAGAATTAAAAAAAAATCTCTCACCCTGAAGCGTGTATAGCTTTATTGTAAGGATAACTAAGAAGAAGGATGACATTTGTCAAAGATTGGATGGTTACGATTCATGAACAGGTGCCATGTATTGACATTTGTGACTTTCATTTTAAAATAATTCTTATATGATTTGCATATCTATAAATACTTGAAACGGATTGGTCAATTAGAATTTTTTACCTTGGTTTACACTTCGATAAACCATGTTTCCGAAACTACTTTCGTACCATCTATTCATGCGCGATACACATGCATATGCAGGGAGTCCGGGATTTTCAGCAAATTGAGATTGAAAAACAAAAACATAACAGTTTTTTTTTCTATTTTAATGCATATGTAACCAAAAAAATATTGCATTAAAGCTTTGAAAATGCATAAAATTAAAATTCATGAAAAATTCCGCGAAATTTCATGAATGATTTAGCGCATTTACGTCATGGCAAAACACAACGTCATACAAATGAAAACTTTCAAGCGAAAGATTATTTCGTTACTTGTACGCTTCAAAATCGGATAATATCTCATTAAAATGCAGTTTTTGAGGTAGGTGCTATTTCATTTTAGATTCTGTTGCATTTATCGAATATTTACGGATTTTAGAAATTCAATATGGCGGCTAAATCCTTAGTTACGACATGTGCATTTGATGGTAGTAGCCATCAAACAAAAAATCGTAACTAAAAATCGCGAATGTTTAACTGAAGAATTATAAGGATTAAACACATTTTTTCTAGAGGTTATTGATGTGTAAACCGGGGCTCTTACTCACAAACTTAACATAAAAGTCCTTCGGACTTTTATTCAGTTTGTGAGTTAATCGCCCCGGTTTACACATCAATAACCTCTAGAAAAAATGTGTTTAATCCTATAATCAAATACAGTGTCTTCTGAAACATACTGAAAAAGTTGACGTTGAAACAGACAACATATCTTATAAATAATGATACACACTAAACAAATGAAAAAGAGACCTTGATGATATATATTTGTAAAAAGCAAATAAAGTACAGAAAGATTAAAATAAGCCAATTTGGATTTGCGTCACAACTAAAGAGATTATCAAATATTATGGAATATATCAAGGTAGATGTGGGATCTAATTAAATAAACTGTTATCACAGAGATATGTCTCGCCTTTTTGTAATTTTGATTATGCAAATGTTGAAGTTAAAATAGCAATACTTTAACATGTAAGTTATGCAAATATTCAAAGTCAATGAACCCTGACTGAGGTACATGGCTAAACAATCTCCATGGAAATGAGATGTGCCAATGCTAATACAACTGCATACCAAATATCATTGACTTATTATAAGTCGTTCCCTTTCGACAAATCTAAACACAAACATTAACTTGTAAACTATGTAAAGGTTTCAAAGTCAATGAACCATGAAGAGGGGGTGGGGCTATATAATTCTCATGGAAACGATACTTGCAAATGCCAATAAATTTGCATACCAAATATCATTGACTTAACATAAGCAGTTCATGTTAAACTGATATAATCACAAACTAATACATGTAAACTAAGCAAAAGTTTCAAAGTCGATAGACCATGACTGAGGGGGCGGGGCCAAATATTTATACAACTGAATACCAATTAACATTGACCTACCACTAATGGTTCTCCTTGAACTGACCTAATCACAAACTTATACATGTTAACTAAGGAACATTTTCTAATTCAATAGACCATGACTGAGGGGGCGGAACCCAATAATCTCCATGGAAATGACACATGCCAATGCTTATACAACTGCATACCAAATATCATTGACCTATCACTAGTGGTTCCCCATAAACTGACATAATCACAAACTAATACACGTAAACTAAACAAAAGTTTCAAAGTCGATAGACCATGACTGAGGGGGCGGGGCCAAATATTTATACAACTGAATACCAATTAACATTGACCTACCACTAATGGTTCTCCTTGAACTGACCTAATCACAAACTAATACATGTTAACTAAGGAACATTTTCTAATTCAATAGACCATGACTGAGGGGGCAGGACCAAATAGTCTCCATGGAAATGAGATGTGCCAATGTCAAAACAACTGCATACCAAAAATGATTGACCTACCACTTGTGGTTCACCATAAACTATACCTAATCACAAACTAATACATTGTTGACGCCGCCGCCGCCGCCGACGCCAGAAACAGCATACCTATTTCTCGTTTTATGACTCCGTCAAGGCGAGACAAAAACGATAGAATGTTTCAATAGTTTGCAAAAATATAGTTTATATCATGTTATAAAAAAGTATAACCACTAAGCTTTTTATCAAGCTACAAGTTGTGCAAAATTGTCAGATTTGGTATAGATTAGACATGGACAAAGCATTTTTGGCCTGAATATAAAGAAAACTTAACAATAGGATTTTATAAAAAAAAAAAGAATCATGAGCAGATAGCTCTGAAAATGTTTTTTTCAATAAAAATGTAGACCATATCCTTTATAATTAAAATAACTTAGACCCCCGATCTACCTTTAAAAGAAACAGTAATTTTAAATGTGCATGAGATACAGTGCAAACATTGTCCCAATTAGTCCTACGTATCCTGTCGATAGTGTTGATGATGCACCAGTTGGTCCTGTATCCGTAGCTCCACCAACTGTTGTTGTAGTTGACGGTGTAGAAGGTGTAATTGATGTTGATACAATGTTTGTCCAGAAAGTCTGAAAGTCCTGCACCACTGTGGCTCTATAAATAAAAATAAAAATCAGACGAGATTTTTTTTTATTCGGGTAGATTGCTCCTTGTAAAACAACTAGAATAATTGAAAATATGTTGTCTAAAGAAATATACAATTATATAAATAGCCAGAATAATGAGACACCTATAGATTTCTTAAAATTGAAAAAAATATCAAAATTAGATGCAATCATTCCAATCATTAACAAGCTACCATATACTTTTTCTCACTTAATCACTAACAAATATGTTGCAAACAGTCAATGAGGAAACAGAGTTATTTCACTCGTCTTCTCATAAAGATACGTACTCGATTTTGACGTTTCCAACAGGTTGTGCCGGGGGTGTCCAGATCGCTAGTAATTCTGTTTTATCATTATTATTTGTATGGGTTATAGCAGCACCATTCTGTAAGTAAATATACACAAATCACACAAATGTTAACATATACATGGTCTTAGTTACGAATTAGACAATAATAATAAATTGAGTTTTTGTTTGTTTCAAACATTTTTGATAAAAATAATATTTCGCTATTAGCAGTCAGTTTGGTTCAATTTTGTCAAAATAGTCTCAAAAACATTGTTGATGAATTATTGGGTTGCAAATCAAATATTCAACCTAATTTCAATCCGTATTATGCAACCTTTAATTTTACCCTGTGCTACGAATGTGTTCAATATCTGACCAGCATGTTCGTTCATTGAAAGTATGTCAACATTGAAAAGTGAAACAAGGAAGCCACCAGGTATAAGCATTTCGTTGACTGCTCCGGCCCGTAAACAATGGTACTTATACAGGGAAAATGATGATTTACATATATATTTAATCGATGAAATAAAAATCAAACAGACCAAGAGAAATCGTCATTATACGATTGCACGTGCTTGTCTGTCTATTTATATTCATATCGGGTTATCTAATCATCAGCAGTCTCGTGGGGTCATCTCGATTGTTAATTATATGGCGTCTGGTCTTAAACACGGACGAAATGGTGATACATTGTAACGAATCCATGCATGGTTATTTGTTTCTTTTTGTAATTTAGATAAACGTTTTAGCACTGTTTGTTATAATTAAATATGAGAATATGGGTCAATCGTTGAACATGAATTTAGCAAATTCCCCTTTAAAGGGACATTACCTGTCAAGTTCATGGTTATCGAATTGACATACATTCTAATATTTGCTTTACAACCTACTGAAACGTAAATCAAAGTTATAAAAAGTACCTGTTGTTTTTCATGACTTTGATTTGAACAACCAAAAGTGTAAACAGATTAATTTTCTAACCATTTATGCAGTGACTACTCTGTTCTGTAAAAACACTATCGACACACACTATTTGTTTTTTTTTTTAAATTTCTTCCTACGCACCGAAAATCTAAAATCCAGGATACCTAAGGAAAAACTATGATATTTATTTTATTTGCTTATGACATTAAGTATTTCTTGTTGTATAATATTTTTAGTAATTACAAAACAGTGAATGAACGTAACATAATATGTAATTTAGTTGATATACCATAAATTACACTGTATACACTTTTGGTCGTTCACATCATTGTCTTGAAAAAACATCAGGTATTTTCAAAACATATTTTTGAAGAAAGGGAAAAATTCAAACTGGAAGGGTATGCATAAAAGATATATGAGGAATGGGCTACTGAGAAAGTAACCCAACGTAACAAGCACGAAGAAACATCTAGAGGTCAACAAACTGTAGACGTGTGTTTATTCAGTAAATGAAATGAAGGTCCAGAATCGTCCGGACTCTTAACAAAGTTGTAAAATCATTTATCCCTATCAAAGATCTGCTATCAACATTAACTTTACCAAAAAAATTCGTAAGGGTTCCGCGGAACCCAGTGTCTCGCCTACTTTTGCTGTTAATCGCAGGCTCAACAAAAATGAGGAAAAAAATAAATAAAAATATTCCTCTCTATACTATCTTTTGATTGTTAGTAGCTTCTGTCCAAGTTTGGTAAAAATCCAGGATAGTTTATAAATCTAATAAATGTTTTAAAAACTTAAACTGCAGACTGTATGTAATGTTAACTGGAAGAAAAACAAAGTCCATTTATAAGTAAAATACGGAAAAAATCAAACAAAATTTTAACAAAATTTCCTTCTAGATACTAGCTTTTAATCATAAACAAGCTTCTGTCCAAGTTTGGTACAAATCCAGGATAGTTTAAGAAAGTTATTAAAATTTTAAAAACTTTAACCACTGAGTGAATGTAATGTTAACTGGCAGAAAAACTAAGTCCATTTATAAGTAAAATACGGAAAAAATGGATTTTTTTTTTTTACAAAATTTACTTCTGGATACTATCTTATGATCATAAACAAGCTTCTTTCCATGTTTGGTAGAAATCCAGGATAGTTTAAGAAAGTTATTAAAATTTCAAAAACTTCAACCACAGAGTGAATGTAATGTTTCTTGGCAGAAAAACTAAGTCCATTTATAAGTAAAATACGGAAAAAATGGATTTTTTTTTTTACAAAATTTACTTCTGGATACTATCTTATGATCATAAACAAGCTTCTTTCCAAGTTTGGTAGAAATCCAGGATAGTTTAAGAAAGTTATTAAAATTTCAAAAACTTTAACCACAGAGTGAATGTAATGTTTCTTGGCAGAAAAACTAAGTCCATTTATAAGTAAAATACGGAAAAAATGGAATTTTTTTTTACAAAATTTACTTTTGAATATTATCTTATGATCATAAACAAGCTTCTGTCAAAGTTTGGTAGAAATCCAGGATAGTTTAAGAAAGTTATTAAAATTTCAAAAACTTTAACCACAGAGTGAATATTTGTGGACGCCGCCGACGACGAAGACGACGACGACGCCGACGGAATGTAGGATCGCTATGTCTCGCTTTTTCGACAAAAGTCGAAGGCTCGACAAAAAGACTAGTGAAATGTACGGTCTGTCGATAATTATATTTTGGCATTGCACAAGATCGTGTTTTTCTCTGATTTTTCAGGACGTCTTTACACTAAATCCACTGGATGTCTACTGATTGATATTTAAACAAAATACGTTAAAGAACATACATTAAAAATTAGTATAAGAAAAGCACTTGTAAAACTATTTAAAACGGTATAATACATAACAACATAACAAAAACACCTGTACAAACAAAGCAATCATAAACGATACAGTGTCATAGAATAGTCGACAAAACCAAACAAACATCATCCAGATGGTTTCAATTAATATGGTTGTACTGTAGAAGTTTACTAACAACATCGTTACAGTGTAGGAATTAACTTACCACATTGTTGCACTGAAGAAGTTGACTTTCAGCAGTTGTTATGACGGTGAAAGTCCCGACTATTTGCTGGTTATCTGTCCTCATCTGTATCAAGAAACCTTTAAAGTTCGCGCCATTGGTACCCTTTATAGTCACTGTAAACAAAAAAAAACAAATAACTATATCAATATTCAATGAGGAGATGTTGTATGAAGGCTTTGAGACAACTGTCCATCAAAACACTAAAAGACAAGGATGTTTGCAACTACAAGTCACCATGTAACTGTATAACAAAATCATAAAAAATGGGAAAACTAATAATAATTTACTAGTACTATCGAACGACGAAAATGCCAACTACTATAGATTATGATGTCCGGTAAATGTAAAGTGAAAGAAATGACGATTTTGAAAATAAACAGAACGCAACTCGTTCATTACCTCTTGTTTTTCTCATTGTTTCTACTATCATGGAAAAGTCGGGAGGTGGTCTGATCTAGGTAATTTGTGACGTCACATTCTACTGCTGTGAGAATTTCAAAGTGCATACGCGAAGATCGTTTTTGCTTGTAAGAGTAAATTTCGAAGTACGAGAACAACTTGTACAATCGAAACTTTATCTCTTTCAGTTGTGGTATGAGTTTCCCATATAAGCAACAAATCCGATCATTTAGCATTATAGAATCTTGGGTTTTACACCAATGATTTAGAGTATCTGCACTTGATTTAGCTTATATCGATCGATATCTTACCTAAAACGTTTTCAGTAGCAGTATAGTAGGTTGAGTTGGCAGTTACTGTATATGGCTTGGCTCTATTTTGAGTGGCTGTTCCATTATGTTGTGGAGTCCTAGTTTGACAAGCAAGAGTGGGAGCTCCGGTCGGATAAGCATGGACAAAACAAAGACAACAAAACAGCAAAACAATCTTCAAACAGGTCTCAAAGCCGCTCATCTCTACCTACAAAATTGTAATATTCGTTATCACTAAAACAAAATTAATGTGTTTTAAAAAGAGAAAGACGACGATTATCCAATAAATTCCTTAAAACACTTTATGAAAATCTCAAGACTGAGCAACCAGAACCAAACCAAAAACTTTGGTTGATCTCAGGTGTTTTGGGAGCCGGGTAAACATGATCTGCTTCACTAGTGGCACCACCTACTGCGATCATTATTCAATAGTGTTTATCATCTTCCTGATTAAAAAGAATGAAGGTTAAAATAATTAACAAAAACTTAGATTAACTCCTCCACATGATCCTAAATCCCCATGGTTGTTTTATATGTTATATTCTAATTCCCCTTGTTATTTGGATATTTTGTTGTTGATTGCAAATCTTTTCCAGTCTCTGTTAGCTTTATTCACAGCGTTTTAGATGTCTAGCATTTCATGCAGCTAGTCTTTTAAAAGTTCAAATAATGACCCTCTTTGATCAGACGTCTCCAGTGCCAAATTGTTTAAACGTCGTCTTTTTCGAGTTTTTATTTTTAATTTTTATTGTTTTAACGTCACAGTACCCAAATTGCACCTATTTAGCAAAAAAAAAAAAAAACAAAAAATCAGCGGAAACTTACGATATAACAAGATGTGGTATGAGTGCCAATGAGACAACTCTCCATCCAAGTCAAAATTTATAAAAGTAAACCATTAAAGGTCAAAGTACGGTCTTCAACACGGAGCCTTGGCTCACACCGAACAGCTAACTATAAAGGGCCCCAAAAATTACTAGTGTAAAACCATTCAAATGGGAAAACCAACGGTCTAATCTATATAAAAAAACGAGAAACGAGAAACAAACGACAACTACTGAACATCAGATTCCTGACTTAGGACAGGTGCAAACAATTGCAGCGGGTTTAAACGTTTTAATGGTACCAAACCTTCACCCTTATCTGAAACAATAGTGTAACATCACAACATAGAAAGGCACACTATAAAATATCAATTGAAATGGCTTAACTCAATCAAAAGACATATTAACACCAGTGTACAAGTTTTTTTAGAGACTAAACAATTTGTATTTTTATGATTTGCACGTCTTTCAACATAGCTAATTATATGTAGATATGCACAAAACTTTCACAATATATATCAACAGATGATGTATTCACTGGAAAAAGTAAAATCTATGGAAACATGTGAGGAGGTCGGTTTAAACCCATTTTTCTATGATTCAATATGAATTCAAAATTAAATTGGTGGAACTATATAGTAAATATGAATACATCTACAAAATAAACCCAGAATGGGAACTTTTGTCTAGATCATAAATAAACGTAGGTGAAAGAAAAAACTGTCAAAATATGTGCAATTTGGGTACCCTCACGTTAACCAGTTATTTTCGTCAATGTATATACCGAAATATTATACAACATATCCATCTGTACTTAAAATGCAAAATATGTTGTCATTGTGTCACTGTCAGTTATTGCATAATTTAGCTATATATATCAAGAAACTATCTACTTTCCTTTAGTAAGATGCATGTATCTTACAAGTTTTATGATCTTTAGAAAGTACACTTTTGTTAAGTTTCCTGTCTATTCTTTCATTTATTGTATTTGATTTGTAATTTGTCCTCGTGTAACACATATTTGTGTCTGAGTGTAAATAAAGAATTGAAATTGAATTGATAAAGGAAGTGACCTACATAGTTTTGCAAAATATTTCATATTTATCCCACATTTTTCTAAAAATTATATTGAAGACATTTGTGGATGGAAGTCACATAATTGTCTGAAGTATATTCTTTTTTTTGTCATAATTTTGTCCCCGGTTGTTTTTGTTTACTCCTAATGTGAACGTGAATAATATTGTTTTACAAATTAATTTGGTTTAAATATATAGCAAATTACAGGACATAAATAATACTTGTGACTATATCGTCAAAAATACGAACACTTCACAACAAACATATAACCAATTTATTTGTGATAATTCTGCTTCTATTGGTACCAAGTTGATTGAAATCCAACCTAACGTGACCTCACACATTTTTAAATAGAAACGTAACCTTTTTCAATATGAAATTCGTAGAGAACATGTCTCCTCTTAGATATTTCTTGTTCTCTTTAACATCTCTCAAATAACATAAATGCAAAGAAAATGGGGGTTCATTTCGGAGTTTGAAATGTAAATCATCGCACGGAAAAATAGAGAATAATTCCCTTAAATGACAACAAATAATGAGTCATACCGCTGCAAACATCCCTCAGACTGCAGATAACTGTACATTTAAAATTATATGATATAGCTATTTTGTTGTTATTACACTACTGTTATACATTGTATATATTATTGCACTTATTGTATACAACTGAATTATGATTGTATCCTTATTGTTACCCCAGAGCGACCTTAATTTGAATAAACACATATTATATTGCATTGTGCTTAAAGTTGAGTAAACATCGAATCATTGAATGAATGCATACTTTATTCTCATAAAACAATTAGAATTAGAATTACTTCTATTTACTCCGGACTTAGAAATAAAAATATAGAACTCGTCACATCTCTATTAAGTTATTAAACATTTTCTCATAAAGAAACAATTGATACTTATTGATGAGTATGCTTATGCTCACTATGAAATATTTGCCGCTGAACTAAATTGACATTCGATTAATTAATCGTAAATTCAGTTAAGTCTTCAGAGGTAAAATCATTGAAAAGCTTTCATTAATGCAAAATAAGTATTTCGTTTATGAACTTTGTAAAGACGACGGTGAGTGCCCTTCAATAATCGAACACAATATATTTAACGACACGGAGGATGAACCACGTTGATTCATCCTAATTTTTTGGGGTAAATTTTCTAATAAGACATTGTATGTAAATTATGCAGTATTACCTTCCCTACTTCATGGCAGCTCCTCAGCTAGCAGTACAAAAGAACAGTTCAAAACATAGAAAGTAGAATAAACAAAGTTCACTTCGGTTTGTGAAACTATCAATATTATTTTTTTTAGTTAAATAGAATTCATTTATTTGGCCATTTAACAATTTAAACTCAATTTCCGTATTGAATACTAAATTCAGAATAGAAAATGACGGATTATTTGACGCATTGTCAGGGTGTATGTAATTAACAATGTTATGGATTTCTGTTGAGAATAAAAGTAGTGTTTATTTTATACATTCTATTGGTATTCATCGTCGGACTTCTCTACTGAATTTATAACTTGGTTAATTAAGAAATAATTCATGCAAGCCATAGATTTGTTGGAAATTTTCACATGGCCCAGGCCATGTGAAAATGATAACAAATCTATGGCTTGCATGAATTATTTCGATTCTAATAAGACAAATACTGTAATTTGAAAAACTTGATTGCCTTGTGTATGGCTGTTCTATGTTTCCCCCTGTAAGATGAAAGCTACAAATTTCAGATAAATCTAAGGCTTTCATGAATTATTTCTTAAATAACCACTGGAAAAAATGTGTTCAATCCTTATAAATCTTAACCCAAACATTTTTTTTGTTGGCTATTTTTTTACTGTCAAATCCACAGTTGACATGTCGTAACTAAGGAGTGAGCCACCATGTTCTGTTCTGGTAAAGAAAACCCCTCCTTCAAAGGAGCACTTCGCACAATGACGAATAAAATGTTTATATATATATATATACCTAAAAAGACATACTAGGTATGCCTCGTGGGATGAGTGTTGGTTGACTTGCTGAAATCCATGAATGCGCGAATAATGCAATAGAATAGAAAATAAAACAACACCTACCCCAAAACTGCATTTTAACGCGATACTATCCGAATTTAGAGCGTACACGTTTGTTGTGCATTTGAATAGGAAAAACGGTTCTGGTAGTTTCTATTTCAATTTCAATTTGAATACAACGAAATCCACATAGTGTTTTCACATGGGTTACGATACATGTGGATTTACGTGGGAGGTAAATAGTAACGGCCATTAATATGTACATCTCTGAGTCTGCGCTAAGTAAAGATATATCGAGAATTTCATCACGCTGTTGTTTATAAAGCGAAAGAAGCACGTCATATTAGAATGTACATGTGTGTCTTCTTCTAATTCTACCTAAGGTGAACAGAAATGTCCGTTTTGTACTAAGATGATGTCATAATGATGACATCGCTGCTTAACATCCAGCGACAAATTATTAATTAATATGCATATTCAGGACGATAACATGTTAATGTAATATAAATATTAACCCTGCTTTGTACTAGACCGACACGCTGAGCCGGATTTTTAACGTGATAGTTCACAAGGTAACAGTCCGCAGGAAGACATGTCACCTTACACCGGAGCCGACCAGTCTTTGCTCTTATTCCTAAATGCCGCGTGCTTAGCGGAGAAGCAGCAAATAACGATAAATATAAGAAGTAATACCGTATAGTACGCTTTAAAAGGCCTCGGCATGAAAAATGTGAAACAATGCATAACAAAACAATTTAAGAAAAAAAAATTATGACAGACATGAACCAATGACAACCATTGAACTACAGGCTCTTGACCCGGGATAAGCACATAAAAATGTGGCGGGGTTTAAGATGTTTGTGAGCGTATAACCCTCCCCTAACCTTACAAAAGCAATAGGACTTGATGGCATCAATCCCCTTGTATAGAAAGAAAAGAGCTATAAAACATCATAGCTCACTTTTATCAACAATCCATTAATTATGGTACCATTACCCTAGATTAACATCAGCATAAAACGAAAGAACAGAACCCGTTCTAATTATAGGAATAAGAGTCCAAGGCTAAAGTCAATATAGCAAAGCATAGGGAACACAATAAATAAAGAGGTAAAATCAGTGCCAACTATGCTTATATATAAACAACTTGATGGGCGATATAAGATATTAGACCATTTTGTTAATACATCAATAGCCAGAAAGCAGACAAACAGGGGATTCCACACTTTCAAACCAAAAATGGAAACATTTCCGATACCGACAGCAAGAAAACCGAAGCTTTAAACCAACAATTTACAAGCGTATATACAGAAACAAAGTTATCCTCTGTACCATATACTACTGGTAGGTAAATAGCAAACAAAACGAGGAACATCAATGTAACCAGTAAATGGGTAGAAAAGATGTTAAAGAATATAAATGTCACCAAAGCACCTATATAGGACATGACGGTTTAAATCCCGGTGTATTAAAATGTCTCATTGAAAAGTAAACCACAAGGCCTTATTTTTATATCAACAGATATGGAGTACGAACACACATATTACATTGAATAGCGTCATTCTTAATACAGAGGACGCCTTGTGTGCTAGTTATTGGTTGCAGTTCAAAAACGACATCAATGCTATTAGGTGTCCCACAAGGCATCGTCTTGGACCCCGTATTATTTTTGGTACACATTAACGCTATCTATAGCAATGGACATCATCAACGATAGTAAACAAATTACAGGACGACATAGACAGATCAGGAAATTAGGCAACAACCTGGGTATGGGATTCCAACTAGTCAAATGTAACTTAGGAGGGAAGAAATTTACTGTTATAATAAGTTTAGTTGCAACCTGAAAGACACCAAACTAGATTGTATTTATCCGATCAATCAAATATCGATATTCAATTTCGTGGTTTTACAAAAGTCTGCATACAAGCCTATAGGGAATAAGTACTTCTTTGAACAGTTAAATTAGTTGTGCACCTGTACCAACGAAATTTACGAAAATTGATATCCCACGAAAAATAAGTAATCCACAGTATGCTTATTCATTTACACAAAGGACTAAACAATCCAACAGAACATTCTGAAAATATCTGGAAAAACCACCAAAATCCACGCATAAATATTATTTCATCAGACCTCCAAATAGAACAGACTCATTCAAATGTATTTTTATCCCTAATACTATAAAGGACTTGAACTCAATACCACCGGACATTTACAAGAAGATAGAATCTTCAAGAACAAGTCAGAACATTTGCAGATATTGTTAGTACGTGGGGTATTTGACTAATCGCTACGTAACGGATACACGGGATAATAATGTTTGTCGGACGTGTCACCATACCATACCATATCAAGATCTAGATCAAGATGCACATTTCTGTTCATACTTATTATAAAATAAACTGTTGACACAGAGATATGTCTCGCCTGTCGACATAAAATTCAGAAAAAGACATCTGATGAACAGCAACATTGCTAATTAGTTCAAATTTGCTGGACCAACTAGTGGGTAGGACCTTAAAACGGTTGACAAAATGAGATGTACAGACAGCAATGCAACTTTATAGAAAATATTGTCTATGTAAGTAGTTCCTATCAATTTAGCCTAATCAATAAACATTGAAAATTGTTAATTGATTGAAAGTCACTTGACCATGACCTAGGGAGCAGGGCCTTAAAATAGTCGTCAAACTGATATGTACTGATAGCAATGCAACTTCACACAAAATATCATTGATCTATATCTAGTAGTTCCTATCAACCTAACTTAAGTAGAAAACTTAACATTTAAAATGGCTAATTAATTGAAAGTCACTGAACCATGGCCTAGGGGACGGCCTAAAAATTGTCGTCAAACTGATATGTACTGATAGTAATGCATCTTCATACAAAATATCAATGATCTATCACAAGTAGTTCCTATCAACCTAACTTAAGCAGAAAACTTAACAATTGTTGACGCCGTCATCGCAGCCGTCGCCGTCGCTGGAAAAGCAATCCTTATGTCTCGCTTTCCGCGACTTTCGTCGCAGGCGAGACAAAAATGGACGTATAATTGTATCTAATAGAAACTCAGACATCACACAGTATTTCAAGCATCTTACTTTATACAATGCAGATCTTGACAAAACCACGGTTGAGTAAATAGTATGTTAAACTTCTTCCTCCTGAAGTCATGCTTAGAGGGTCGTCCGTTTCACTTTGACCTTGGGGAGGGTTTGCACTTTGGTCCTTTTGTTGTATGGGTGATCATATATTCAATCAAACTTTCTCAACCTTATCATATATAACGTGGGTTGAAAAAGTGACCTATCCAAACCACTTATTACATAGTAAGTTGACCCCGAGTTTTGACTGAATGGGATGTATCAAAACGTAACTTACGATCAGAATCCGACGTCTGGTGAAGGACAAGTGCCAGACTCCGGCATTTTGAAGAATAATAACACCAACTGATTGATGGGTCGTAAATAACCTGTTGTAATTTTTGGGTTTTACTTTGTTATTTCATAATTCGCGTAAATGTGATCATTTGAAGATCTCCTTAGGCAATATAGAAGGCGAGAATATAACCATTATTGAAAGAAAAAAAACAATATAATAATAAGCAGATGTGGTATGTTTGCCACGAGACAACTTTCCACCAGAAACCAAATGAAGAAGACGTTAACAACTATAGGTCACGCTTTTTCAACAAGAAAAAAGACGACAAAATTAACAAAGTGAAAAAAATAGAGCAAGCGAACCTGCCAAAAAGGGGTGATTAGGAAGTGTAACTAATTCATGCTTTTCTAGCGACTTAGATGATGTTAATCATGACAAGTCAAAATTCGGTGAAAATTTGCTTTCAGTGCTGTCACAATTGGGGAAAATAGTACGCGATTGGGGCTACTATAACATACCCATGGTCATTTGTGAACCAGAAATTACATAAATTGATGTTGGTCCTAAAAATTTCAGAGGTATGACTTCAGCTTTATCGTTACAAAAGCCTTATTTCAATTAAGCAGAATTTCTCTATCAATAGCCCTCTCCCCACTATATTGATAATTTGATCGTGGGTGATTAATGTTGAAAGCACTGCTTAAGAGATTTAAGTACGACGTTTAGCACATACTTACAACTTCTCGTCCAATCAAATTGCTAGAATTTGCCTTCTAATTTTCATTAGAATATAGCAAAGTGCTCTCGACCAA